AAAGATTTTAGGTTTTTGGAGGGTAGTACTCTTTAGTCCCACTTTCTTTATTTGTTTTTGTTTGACTTTTATAATATCCTGCTGTACAGCACAAGCTGGTCTGTGTGGCTTCGGGTTTTTGTTCCATGACACAGTGACAGGGCTCCCATGGACAAGTTGTTTGAAAACCTGTCACCTTTTAATTACACGTCACTGTTGAAGTCTCAGCAGAGCAGAGCGCTTCGCATGGGACAAAGAAAAGAAAAGAAAAGAGCACGAGTCGAGTTTATTTTTCCGGTTAACCCATTAACTTTGGCAGTACTTAAGTCTGTTGTTGTCCATATGCATATTTAGAAATAGTACATGTTTTACATAGTTAGAAGTCAGATTCACTAGTCGTACTTACTCGTTTTTAAATCCGTGCCATGCACAGAAAACCAGCACTAGAATGCATCGCTTTGCACCTTTTATTTGTTGTTGTTTTTCAGTCAACATGAATCAGTTCATGGTGACTGCAGGAGCCACTTGAAGATTCCTGTTGCATTCTGTAGTTTATTTTTTAAAAGGTCATTTTCCTTTCAGGGGATTTTCTGTCTCTGTCAACCAGAAAGGATCTGTTATACATTTTTATGGTCACATAAAGGCAACTGAACTGAAATATTGTCTCTTTCACAGGCAGGAAAACTTGCTGTTGAGCGAGGGTGGGCCATAAACGTAGGTGAGTTTGCAATATATGCACTGATCCATGCATCAATAATACGTCTATCTGCAATCAGCTGATATATGTTTAGCTTTCATATGGGAAACGGTTTACCCCACACTCTTCACCTCCCTATGGAGCCTAGCTATGGAGGTTTGCATGAGATAGTGGTGTCACATGCCAGGTTTCCAGTGTCTTCAGCATGCAACAAAAGCCTTCATTTCCCACAGTGGTATTTGTATGCAGTCTTTGCATATAGCTTAAATTAGGTGGTGAATTATTATTATTTTTTATTTATTTATTTATTTTAGTAAAAAAAGAAAAGTAACAGCACCAGCTGCTAGAATGGGAAAAACTAAACAAACAAAAAAATACCCAATTATTTTCATTGGTTTGGTTGCAAAAAGTTCCGTTTTCTATTTGGAATTTATTCATTATTTATTTGGACGCGATGTTTGGTTTCCGCCCAATTTTTTGGTTTTTCTTTCCCCACTTAGCACAAATATGTTTTTGAATCATTTGCAAAGGGAATGCTCTGTGTTAACGAGATGCTATAAACTCTTCAACATCAGTTGACAACACCAGTCTGTTTCTGGTAGCTGTGAGTGAAACAGTGTTCAGCGTAAAGTAGAACATGCTGATCAGTTTCCTTAGCTGCTTATCACCTAGAGGAGGAGTGGCGCAAACATAGCACTCACCAGACCAGACATGGACCGTATTTTTTGCATCATAAGGCGCGTTAAGCAAAACAAAACAGTCAGACAAGTCAAATTTTATTCATCTCATTCTTCTTGCTTCCTCCACTTTCGTACCATTGATTCATTAATGCTGAAATCTCTCGCAGCTGCTCTATTCCCATGTTGCAGTTTATTAATAACTAACCTCGTATTGTTCTCCTGACTGACATTTGATCCGTTTACAGCATCCTGTCATGCGATTGCATTTGTCCCTAACCATCAGGAACCCTCACGTTAACTTTTATCGAGTGGAAAAAAAGTTAGCGCTCATCCTCCAGCTTCACTGTGTTTATGTGATGCTAACATAGCTGTGTGCTAACAATCATGTAGCACATCATTATATACCAGCTAGTCCAACTTCAGTAACCCTGCTGTTTAGTTTTCTGTCTTCATTTATGTTTGAAGTGATAGCAGAGCTGTACGTTTTAATTTTTTCAAAAATCTCAGTCAGAAATAAGAAGGACCGATCCGCTATTACGTATCAGTATCTGTCCGATACTGACCTAAATGACTGTATCAGATATCGGAGAGAAATAAAAAATGTAATCCGATCCATTAAATATCACA